TGGTTCAGAACCAAGAATGATATATGGTGTAGTTTCTGCAGTATTTCTGGCTTCGTGAGCTAATCCGCTACAGTCTTCTTGTTGCTGTAGCGCTACCGATGTTAGGAGCAGAGGCTTAGAGTTGATGTTTTGGTTGTGCTGCTAGTGATTAAAAAAAGCTGTACACTTGGGTCAGTTCTCTCTCGTTTTATTCACTTTAACAATCACAGACAAATGACCGCATGCCAGCCACAGATCGATGCTATATGGCTTTACATGACAGCACCTTGTAAAGCCCTGGAGCGGATTCAGGACCAGTCTATGCAAAATCTACCAACGACGATGAACAAGGCAAGACGGAAAGAAATTCAACTGCTAATTTCCTTTTGCCCCTTTCAACCTTCTTGCATGATTTGTCTTTGCCTCCTATCGTGCCTCCCTCCTCTCAGTCTCTCTCTCTCTGCCTCCAGAGCAGGGCATTGACCACATGGTGTTTTAATTAACTTGTGTGCTGTGTAAGAGCCAAGGCTAGCGGGAACACTCACAGGGTGTGACTGTACAATCACAGTAAAGCTGAGCACGGGGCTGAGAACCGGTGGCGTTTTAGGGTCCCTATTTTAAACATTAAGTCTTGCAGTCAGGTCAGTGTGTGCCACTAATTCCTGGTTCAACATCAAATAAAAGCCGCTCTTCTACATTTGTAGAACAACTGAGTAATACAGTGATTGCAGAACAATATAGATCTTCTAAAATGACCTGTCTTTGAACCAGCACTTCATTAATGTTAGTTGCTGGAGAAAACATGGGGAGCACTATCATCATTTCTTGCCTGAGGGGAAAAAACACATCATGTTACTCGCTGCTTTCTGGAATACTCAACATTTAAAAGCACTTTGGGAAGAGGACATCCACAGAGTCCCTTTGATGTGCAGTAAGGGTCAGCCGGTTATCGGCCTGGATGATTATTGGATCTAATATTCAGCATTTGTCCAATTATCAAAATTGATTACACAATAAATACATCTAAAAATGTGCTTCATTGACAGTGAAGCAGCCACATACAGCACTATCTGCTTGGATACATTTCATCAACACAGAAATGTCAAAAAGTTCTCTTTTAATTGAAGATGTGTAAAGCAAATAGCTTTCTGTTGGAGTCTTGTGAATTAAGCTTCCAGATATCAGTTTTAAAGTATTATTTTATGTGATTTTTGTGGCGTGTAATGTCTAATATGTAAATGACTCGGCTATAATCACACTTTAAATAACGCTACAGGGTCTATAATGCAATATTTAGTCTTATTTTGCAATGTAATTCGTAATCATTTTTTACCAGCAGGCACTTGGTGCAGCAGCTTTAGTCTTAGATGTGCTATACAAGAAAGTTGTCTTATCTATTCTATCTAGTTTTTGCTGCACATTTGCAATCTTTGGCTATTGAATTTGTATTCTAATTTGACATTTGTGTTATTGTAAAGAAATTTGCACCTGTTTTCCAAAAGTGCGATATAAATAAAGTTGTTCTTTTTACTATTATCAGTCTCCTTTATTACTAATAATTAGCATCGGCCCTAATATTAGTCAATATATGTGCAACTGCTTTTAGATTTCTGGAAACAATTAATAGAAGCTGAGAATTTTTTTAAAAATGCTACAGAAAAAAGGAAAAGTAGCCTAAGTTGTATAATGAGTAACATGGTGAGTAATAATACTATTTTTGAAATACATGACAAGCAATAAGTAGTGAATATATTTTGGTGAAAAATGTCCCCTAAACTGTTGCTAGCTCAAGGCAAAAATACTACAGGAGCAGTCTTCCTTGTGAAGACTTTTCCTCAGCGCTACAAGGATCCCTCCCTAGACTTCTCACTTTGACCCTCTCTTCCTCTATCTGCCTGTATGTTGTGTCTCTTTCTCTTCCTGACAGCGTAATTAACAGGACCATGGGGTGCACCATGTATTACCCATGGAGCAATGTGACAATCACATCACTGGACTCGCCTATCCAGTAGAAAACTCCCTCCTCCCTGTTCCTTCAACCAGTATGAACTGTCAACGTAATGGTAACAGGTTGGCGAGACTGAAAAACAGCAAAACACTTCGGGGTCAGTCACTGGATACGAACAGACCCTTTAACCGAAGGTGTATCATTTCATTTTATTTCATTTTATTTCTCCTTCATGCACATTTTTCAGTGACATTCAGGCAGGCAGACAGACTGAGAGGTAGTCTAATGCCTTAGGGTGTTTCACTGAACCATGTGACAATATCAAAAGTGACACAAGCACACCTACCAGTGGCAGAGGTATTGAATGTGAGAGCCGATGATAAAGCGTGCATGTGTGTCTTGATGAGGCCGGTTGACGGGCAGGAACACTTTACCAAAGATGATAATGGAGTGTACCATAAAAGAAAAAAAATGAGGATTAAGGAGGGGGAGACAAGAGGATCAGAAGAGAAGAATAACGCACAGAGAAAGGGAAAAAAAAGACATTTTCACACTCTTGTGCCTGCTGGTGCTCAGGTGTGTGCATGGCCAAGGATGTTATGAGCATCCAAACTGTAAGCATGTAAAAAAACTGCTTTATTAGTGTGTCTAAAACCTGCTAACTCATTCTGATTTGAGCATCAGTGGTGAGAACGTTACCATTAAGGCTTCGGACTTTAAACTGACTGATAACGGGTAGATAAAAAGGGTTTGTTTCCAAGATAAAAATGATTTACTTAATCTTCAGCACAATTCAGACCAATGTGGTTAATTAAGCTGAAGTGAGCAGAGAGCCTAAGAAATAAGAAAAGGCAACATAGACAATCAGAAGAAGAAAAAAAATCCTTGTTAGGATCTATTTCTTGCTGCCAGATACATTATATCTCATGTGTCTTTTAATTACAACAAATAGCAGTTTACATCTGGCATTCAATTCCATCAATGGGATATTAAACACGGCCTAACAGAGGAAGTAAAAATCTGAGCGGTTAATCAATACACACAATTGTGTTAGGAGGTTTTCTGTGCTTTAATGACAGCACAAAATTGACCACGTTGGTCCTCGGTGAAGCCGTGGATTTATTTTTGGTCGTAAATCCTGAGCGTTAAATCAGACCCTAATGGCTCCACATTGCGGGCACAATCAAACTTAGATTTATTACAACAATTTTACAGTCGAGGAAACAAAGTGACAGTTAACATCTTCTTTTTGGTCCTTGTAGTTTTTCTCTCTGTCAGTGCTTTTTCACGCCAAATAGGATCTTACTGTTTCCTCAGCTTTTGCTCCCTTCTCCGCTAAGAGAGTGGGGGAGGAGAGGCCTGCAGCAAATGTAATAATAGGAACTGGGCAAGCTCTTAAAAATAATCTGCCTCAATTTCATAATTAATCTGCGCTAGGTTTTCACACAATTAGCACGTTAATTAACCCAAAACTGCCACCACTGTGTGGGGATGGGAGTGTGTGTGTGTGTGTGGGGGGAGAGAAGGATGAGTTCTCTATCAGACATGGGGAGAAGGGAGAGACGTGACGATAACAGTGGAAGAAATAACTGAATGACTGAGTGGATTCTCAGAGTGGAGGAACAGGGGTAGAGGAAGGAGATCAGAAAAGGGTTAGAAGGTGAAAGGATGGATGAACGCAAGGAAAATAGGATTTTAAAAAAACGCAAGAATGAAAGGGGGTTATGTCAGAGATGTAGTGAAAGGCCAAGAAGACAGGTAACAGAAGTAATACCAAGTGTGTGTGTTCTTTTATTTCTGCATGTGTATCTGTTTTTGTGTCTCTGACTGTGTGTTAGACAGCGAGTGAGGGCGGGGCTGCACGCGAGGGAATGAAGTAAAAGTTACTCCAGCTGTACTTGTGTTTCAACCTCCTCTTCTCGCGTCTCCAGACATTGCTAGACAACTCTCACACACAGACACTCTCTACCTCCACTTCACACACACACGCACACACACACACACACACTCAGAGTACATCAGTGACTCTGGGATCGCCTGTCAGGTCTGGCGAGGGGCTGAGGGTGTGGGGTGCAGAGCATTTGTTCCCCAGAACAACTCGCGGGTCCACCTCGTTAATCTCCATGACGACAGAGATGCTAAGGCAGCAAATTAGCAGCAAGCAGGAAAAAAGACTGTCACGGGGGAAGCTCATAAAAGAACAACCAAACTACAGAGGTAGGTTTTAGCTAAGCACAGACACCACTTAGTATAGATGCACGCACACACAATTGTTTATGACCTTTTCTCAGCCCTTAACAGATGAAGTGAGGACTTAAATGAAGAAGCTTAACACTGCTGCAGTGCCTCATTTTCTTTCAAGCAAAACCGCCTTGCCAGACAAATATAAATAACTACAGCTACATGTGTACGATTTGCACATTATAATATACACTGCACATAGGTGTTGTCGCCATATCCAAACACCTCAAATTTAAACTAACATGTTTAGATACGGCAAGTTATGTTCACCACCTTAGCGCCTGCTGAGACACTGTTAATTAGCATAATCAACTCACAACACCTGCAGCATCATTACAGCATCACGTTCTAGCATGCGTAGTTTGACTTCATCCAAGCCAAGAGAAGAACACTCGTATTATGTGACAGCCAGTTGTTTATCGTCGGAGCGATCATATTAACTTGTCACTACGGCTCCTGAAACATCTCTCGTGCTTTACGCTTTACAACCTATAAAATTTTACCTATAATTTTGACTGTTTTCTAAGCAAAGCTTTTCCAACCCTCAGAGGTGCAGCCAAGTGGTAAATTGCACAACAGCTGGTCCACGCAGCCCACAAGTCAAAAAGACCTCTTCATTTCACTCGTCTGTCTCACACCTCCATATTTGCGTGAGTGCATGTGTGTCGCATTAAACGCATGTGAGGAAGAACACGGTTGTATCACGGTTCCAAAGTGCCATTTAACTAAGAAACAGAACCAGGAAGTGAGACGTTCCCGGTCACTGGGATCACACCAGATGCTATGCTGACACACACTTAAACACTGAGAGAAAGAAATGTGCCTCACTCACCGATCATGTGATTGGCGACGTGAATCTGGATTTCTCTTTCTGTCTCAAACGTCATTTGGCATTTAATACACTGGTAGGTCTTCTTCTGTAATATAAAAACACACAAACACAAAAATCATTGTTACTGGAATAAAACACGTCTTATCTTGCAAATTCATATGTAGAAAAGAATCTCGAGTGAAATCAGAAAAAAAAGATCAAGTTTTATGCACACAAAGTACATAAATTCCCTTTAAAATTATATTGCATTTCATTATTCAACCTTAAAACAATAAGTTCTACTCAAGAGTGAAATATTTTGAGTGTGAAGAAGTTGTTCAGAACATGTTTGATTATTTTCCTCTAAACAGAAAGAAGAAAAACTGCAAAGCTCAAGAATGAAAATGGTATTATAGCTCATTAAACTCTGAAACATCCAAATGTAGAATTTTTTTGTTCGGAAAATTGCACTTTTGTTCTTTTTGCAGTCGTCCCTTAACATGTGAGACACATGAATCTCACAAAATCTTGCACTGAAAGTCCAAGTCTGTGGAGACTCAGTAAAAAGGAAGATGAGGTGTGCGGTTACACGAACGCACAAGTAGGACCTCTGCAGAGAAGCAAGAATCGGAAATTAATAAGGAAGGGAGTGAACAGGAAAAAGATTAAGAGGAGAAGCAATGAAACAGAAACAGGAGGAAACGATGGAGAATAAAAAAAAAAGGACAAGAGAGAGACAGAAAGAGATACAGAAAGAGCCAGAGAAACAAGGGTGAGAGACTCAGAAACAAAGAGAGAGAGGAGCAGAGGCTCTGCTTATCCATTCATAGCACATAGCGATCACTCATGCACAAACACATACAAAATACACAAAGGCCCCACTTCCACTATCTCTCTGCTGCTTCAGCCTGCTAGAATGAGTACACACACATACACACACACAGAAATCCTACTTTGTCTGCTTTGTGCTGTTAGACTAAGCAGAAACAAAGGTGCAGGTAAGACAGAGGGTCCCTGGGAACTGTCTCTAACTCACGCACACACACAGACAGACGCACACACGCCAACTTGCAAGTACACACTCTCACACACACACAGACACGCGGCAGGTCCCGGGGAGCCTGACTGTCAATATCAAGTAGAGCGAACAGCTCCCACAATGCCTCAGCACGCCCCAGCCGCAGGACCCAGTGGGGCTCAGCTGACACACACCGACATACACATAAGCACACGTATGCAAGCTGCAGACACAAAAGCAGCAGCACGCACCAACACTTCATTCACTCACACACACACACACACACACACACACACACTCACACACTCACACACTCACACACACACACACACCTCATGCAAAGATACAGTTCAGCAGGAGTCTCTTGCACTCCTGAAAATGTCTCCATCTGTTAAATGCTGTTTCAAATGCAACACTGGCCATAATTATACAGTCTAATGTTTCACCTGCCACACTGCACTGGCAAACTGAACATGTAAGATGCAAACGTGATGCTCCTCATTTCAGTAGCATCAGTGTCAAATTTGCTTCCGCTGTTTTCAGTGAAAGATTTTCATCCAACAAGTTCCATCAAACCACAAATCTCTCTCTGTCTCATCTTTATTGATCCTGCCTCACCTTAGGTGCAGGTGAAGCCTCAGTCTTCTTTCCTGCTGCGCTGGTTTCAGGGCTGACCTCAGGGTGATCCGTCTGGACGTGACTCTCCAAGTCCTCCAGGCTCTCAAACTTCACCCCGCACTCTGGACACCTCAGCCCGGCCACGGCCTTCTCTCCTTGCGTGTCTCCGGGCGTGGCAGTTCCTCCTTGGTTGGGACTCTGGCCGTTCGTGCCCCTGATTTCGATTAAGCATTTGATTCGTTTTAGCAGACTTAAAAAAAAATTGGAGTTTGCATATCAGTTTCTATGTTACTGTGTTTTATGTTCACTGCATCTAAAGCCTCTTTAATAAGTCTAGAAGGTATGCGTTCCACTTACTGAACTAATACTGCATATAAAGAGACCATGAGCAGAACAGGAAAGTGTTATATGAAGTGGTCAGAAGAGGTTTAGTGGTGCGTTTCCCAACAATTTCCCCAAAGTCTACGTATGAAATGTGCTTCTACCATTTCAGTGTGCTCTTTGGTGGCAAATTTAAGAATTATTAGTCCTTTGTTCAGATAAAAATGCTCAAGATGAGTATTTTTGGGGTATATTTACTGAACTGACCAGTATCTCAGTAGCTGCTGTTTGTTAGTCCCATCTTGGTTAAACTCAGGTCTCTGCTCTAGTGACTTCAAGAGAACAGTAGGCAATGCATCCAAATCCAAGCTTGCAAATACCTCAGATGCTAAAGGATTGATATCCCTTGGCACTCATTATTACTTTTAGTCTATGGACAATCTTTTTTGTTTTTTTTTTCTACATAGGTGATCTACCTAGTTAGGCAGTACTCAACCATGAAATGTTGTGTATTGTGTGTGTGAAAGGGGCCTAAATCCTGTTTAAAATTCTGTTGCACCCCATCTGTTTTGTACCAAAGTTGATTTTAAATGCACACGCTTGTCAGCAGGGTTAAAAAGATGGCTGCCTACCTGCTCATACAACCAGCACAGAGGCCGTAAGGCAGGCCATTGACATCTAGCTTCACCAGCTCGCCTTTGTTCTTGAACTCCTTTAGGCAGAAGGCGCATTTGTACAGCTTATGCTGCTGCAGCTGCCCATTAGGGGATGAAGAGGCTGAGCCGTTGCCTCCACCTGCTCCTCCATTCCCGCCTCCTCCTCCAGCTCCTCCAAGTGCAGAACCGGTAGAAAGCTTCTGCATGTGAAAGGTGCCGTGGATCTTCAGCTCTAGGGTGGAGGTGACCGTCTGCATGCAGACAACGCAGCGGAAGCCGGTGAGGGAGTTGCGGAGGTCGGGGTGCATCTGGCAATGCTCTATAAACTCCTCCTCACTCTGCAGGGGCATCTTACAGATTCGACAGGTTCCTGTGTCCAGGCTTTTACTGTGGGTCACCTAAAGAGGGAGAATATCCTCAGGAATTATCACTGCAATGGTTAATAATCACACCACAGGCTTATTTCTATCTTTGATCAAAGCATCGAGGAACACTTTTTTACGACGCAACCGAATTATGAATCTTTATGGTCCATTAAATTATTTATTTATTCGATTGTAAAGCTATAAAAAGCATTTCTACATGAGCCTCCTCATAAACTAAATAAGGCACTGTTACCATAGTAAGTGACTGTAGATGCATTACACAACACATTCTTTGAGTATAACAACATCTTTCTTTGTTTCAGCGCAAATTGTCTCTCTTAGGACAATTTAACATTTTTTTTAAAGTCTAAAATCAAAGCAGCCAAAGATGTTTCAGGATCAAAATATAGGTACACAGACAGAAAACAAGAAAATGCGACACAGGAGAAAAGCACAAACATCCACAGACAACTGCTTTGTTATACTTGTGAGGGAATCCCTACTGCATTTGCACTTTCCCTGTAAACCTCTGAACCAAATGCTGAATCATACATACCACACCAACACATATACAGACTGGCAAGTAAAAGTGAAAGTCTGATCACCTTGTGTTCAGTGAGCGTCAGCAGAGAGGGGAATCGCTCGCCACATATCGGACACATGTAGTGTTTGGCAGGACCACGGTGCGTTTGAGCGTGCTCGCGAAGCCCGTTCTCAGAGAAGAAAGTTCTGGAGCAAACGTTGCACTTGTGGTTCCCTTTGATGAAGTCTGCCTTCTTCTTTCGCGAACCTGTTACACAGAATATAATTACTATGCATAACCCCAAATAAAATAATTATGAAATAAACTACAAATTCAAAAGCAAAAGCAGTGAATGAAAGAATCTGTCGTCACCAGCATCATCTTCTCCCGGCCGGATGTTGTGGTCCCGCAGCCGGTGGTTCTGCAGGAGGGACTCCATGGTGTAGGCTGCCCCGCAGATATCACAGGCATACATGGGCTCTGAATTGTCCAGCTCCTCCTCTCCCCCGCTTGCCTCGTGGCTGTTGGCTGTATCTCCTCCCTGGCCTGATCCTCCTCCCACAACACTACCCTTGAGCAGGATGTTCTGCAGGTCAGCTTGTTCAGCAGCCGCGACTGTTGCTCTTTCAACGCCTGCAGCACCTCCATTGCCACTTCCTCCTCCTCCTCCTCCTCCTCCCCCTCCCCCTCCTCGCTTGGAGGACTGAGCGAGCCCGTTGGGCGTCCCGTTCTGACTCCCACTGCTCCCTGTGCCACCTCCATTGCCGGTGATGTTGCCGCCATCGAAGATGCAGTGCTTTTCTCTCAGGTGTCTCTCCAGCAGTGAGATGGCATGGAAAGCTTTGCCACAGAAGCGACACGTGAACTTCTTGCTGTGCGTGGTGATGTGACACTGCAGCTCCACCTCTGTTCCAAATGTCTCCCCACAGAAGATGCACTTCCGAGGTTTGAGTCCTGCGAGACAAAAAAACATGCAGATTTAAGTTCAGTCTATCCCACAAAACTGCTGTCACACAAACGCTGTAGAAATTGTGATTTTCACTTGTACAGGAAATGACAACTTCTGTTCTGTTTCACACAATGATCATGTATTGGTTCCACAGTCAGATTTACTGTACAGATGAAACTTAGCATAACTTCAGGACAGGTGTACTTTACCTGTACCGAGACCTCCTGGGAGTCCCGACCTTTGGCCTAGGTGGTTGTGCTTAACATGAAGCTGAAGATCGGCCTCCTTTCTGAAGTCCCAGGCACAGGCTGTGCAGCGAAACAGCTTCTTCTCATTGCTGTGCTTCACTGCCAAATGCACCTGAATGACGAAAGGCAAAAAAGAAAGGCACAATCCAGGATAAAAAACCTTCTGTCTGTTTAAGTCGTGTATTAATTTTTACAGCCCATTCTTTGTAAAAAAAAAAAAAAAATTTAAAGGAAAAGTAGGAGGCTGTCGCATTTACCTGTATGGACACCTTAGAGTCAAAGACCTCCTGACAAAGAGTACAGTGGTACAGGACGAACGTGTGCATGTCCAGCAGGTGTTTCTGCAGGTCATCCACTGAGGAGAACTGTTTGTCGCAGCTTTCACACACATACTGTGTAGACGTGGTGGTGTAGTGTACTGTCAGGTGTTGAAGCAATGCCTCCTGGGACTCAAAATCCTCCTTGTTGCACTGGGGGCAGGACTGACGCCTCAGCAGCATCTCCAGGTGTGACTTAAGGTGGGCCTGGAAACCCTCAAAACTAGCAAACCGCAGGTCACACTGGTTGCACGGATAATCCCCGTTGCTTCCCATGGACGGGGTAGAGTCCCCTCCCAGTCGGTGGCGTTTCGGAGAGGAGATCTCGACGTCAGAGGAGGCTGGGCTCAGCTCGGCAACTTTAGCCTGCCGTTTGTTGTTGGCCAACGGGATGTTCTTGTGGTTCTCCTTTATGTGTTTGGTGAGCTTGAGGAGTGAGCCGAAGATAGGAGAATTGGTGCAGTAAGGGCAGGAGTAAACCTGTACATGGACAATAACTCTTTACTTTTTTTAAGATTATTATACATTGACATATGCTGATATACTGTTTAGTCCTGGTAGACTGAAAGAGAAGACAATAAAGATATGAAGAGTGGGAGAAAGAAAAAATAGCAAGAGCGAGAGACACAATTGTAGGCCATAACTCATACTCATAACTCTGCAAGTTCACATATAAAACCTGAGGTTTAATATGTCATTTATTAGCAGACAGTGAACATTGCATAAACCTGTGTCTTTTTGGCTCTTAAAGCCCAAGTTTATAAGAACCTATAAATCTGTGGCTGAAATTTATTAAGATAGTCTGAAGCATTAAAATAGGCGTGCATTTTCCTTTTTTGGTGCATGTAATTGTTGTGCAGCGCCTGTAATCGATAACCCACACATTAGAAACGTGGTTTGCATCAACTCCTGTCCACTTCCAATTATGTTTTGAGCACAGCCGGAACTGTGGGTCAAGAGGTGAAATGAGCCACACTTTGCACAGTTGCTCGCAGTAACTGAGGACTCATTAATCACAAACTCAGCACAGAAAATAAAATTAAATGATCAAAGACCATTTCTTACATAATTCAAACCGCCTAGCAACCAGATAATTGCAATCGGCTCCACAACTGTCTTCTAATGGACAGACAAGGCACATTTCGTTTCTCATCAGATTAAAGCCAAGGTAGGCAGTATTTTTTTTGGCATCAACCGGCAAAATTTTTTACAATAACTTTTCTGTATATTGTAATTCAAATGGTTTAAGGGGCTAGTTTTTTGGCTCAATTTCCAGGCTTTATAAAATGTATACTGTGATGGGGGAAATTGGCCTAAATCCAGGGACTGAATCCTGTGTGAATTACTTCTGGCTTAACTTTATTTTTTTTAAGTGTGTATACATGCCTGGTGGGAGGGGCTTAGAACATAGAGGGCAGAGCTGTAGGGGGAGTGTTGTATTTTCAAATTCCGACATTTTTGCCTTTTCCACATTTCTACCTACTGCAGCTTTTTCATATTTTGAAAATGTAATGCTCGACTTCTTCTTGATTCTCACCTCCATGAAGGACTGAGATGCAGCCTGCAGTACAGGTGACTCCAGTTTGGCCACCGCTCCTCCAGATGCATTTCCGCCGCCTGTAGCAGAGGTGCAGTGTGTCTGCTGAATGTGTTCTGTCAACGAAGACTCCGTCAGGAATCCCATGGAGCACTGGTTGCAGAAGAAGGCATGGTTCCCTTCTAGGATGGAGGAGGTAGGTCACATTGTGTCATTAAGAGCAACTACAATAAATCATGATGCTGCACTTGATGAAGTTATGTTTGGATAACTGTTTTCCTTTGAATCACACAACTACGCTATAAATCCCAACAATTTTTGTCTAAACTTTCTTTCTGATCATCACTGACTGAAAATACACACTTTGATTATTCTAAACCCACCTAATGTTGTGGATCCTGCCATAATCCCACCAGGCAGGCAGTGGGACACTCTGATGTGTTCTTGCAGAGAGTTGATGTCCCCGAACATGTCTGGACAGTAGTTGCAGTGGAATGCTGTGACGTTGGTGAACTGCAGCAGAGGAAATGCCGCTGCTGTTGTGCCCACGGTTCCTCCGCTGGCACGGTGAGCTTTCCGCACATGTTCATTGAGGTTGTAGAGCGTTGGCAGCGTTTCCAAGCAGAGTTGACACGTATGGCTCTGTTGCGGCTTGTCCGCATGGATCGTCTTCAAGTGGATCTCCAACACTGCCAGACTGTGGAAGTCTCTCTTTGAGCAGTACGGGCAAGAGTACGTCACTTTACCCCAGTTCCCTCCCCCACCTGTGCAGACAGACAGTAAAAATGGTACTTTATAAACACACAAAAGTAGCTGAAGCATTTTAACTATGAAGAGTTGACAAGTGACCATCATACCTCCACCTTGATGACCCAGGCTAATCCCTATGTCCTCCACAGTATCTGCGCCTCTCCTGCGGCTTCGTTCGCTACCCTGGCTGTGCTTTAGTGTGGAGTCAGGTGTCGAGCCTCTCTCCAGACTGGCACTAGAGTCTGGAGTGGCCGAGCTCATTGAGGCCACGCTGCCGAGGGCCGGGTCAGGACTGGCAGCACTGTGATTAGAGGAGTCGGGTTGACGATGGCTGTCTAGGTGGCAGTAGACGTCCTCTACAGACGGGAACTGTTCTGAACAGACAGGACATCTGGGGATACAGAAAAAGACCCATAAAAGTCAAGTTCTACAGTAATAAAAATTGTGGGGTAGAACGTGTTAATAAGCGAATCTCTGCAGTACTTGTGTTTGCGGTTGGCATGCTGGGTTTCGATATGCGTGAGGAGCGAAGCCTCATCTAGAAAGATCTCAGGACAGTGGATGCATTGCAAGTCAGCTCGGTCGGACAGCTGGGGGTGTCTGGTCAGGACGTGTTTCTCCAACTCGTCGGTCTGGCTGAACGTCTCCTCGCAGTAATCGCACATATACAGGTCCTGCTCCAGGTCGCCCTCTCCTCCTGATCCCTTCTTCCCTCCATCTCTCTCGCTCCTCAGCGCAAGATGTTCTCTGTTCTTACGATGAGCCTGCCAGACACAGAAATAGTCAAGTTTCTTATTATAGTCCTGAACAATGGGAGTAATAAGAACCAAACTAGTAGTTTGCATGAGAGGAGTAACATCTTAAAAGTAAAAACTGTTTACCTGCATGTGGCTCTGCAGCGACGATGTGGAGGAGAAGCCACGTTTACACACACTGCACTTAAATGGTTTGCTGGAGCTGGAAGTGTGAAGATTTAAAAAAAAAAAACTGTCACAAAACACATTGAAAAATCTAGTATGAATCAAAAGCAATTTTTGTACAAATTTCCTTCTAATAACCTCAGAAGCAGTTACCTGTGTGTCTTGAGATGGATCTTCAGGTGATCAGAGCGAGAGAAAGCAGCTTCACACTCCTGACAGCTATACTTCTTATCTCCTGTATCGTTTGACAGTTTGATCAGAGATAATTACTTCAGAGAATAGCTTCAACGTAGAACCCAGCTCAAAACCCAAGACTAATCCTGATATTTCTTCATTTGCTTTATTGAATAACAAGTTTATTATTGGCCCTCTATTCCTAGTAGGTTCCATGTCATTGTGGCCCATCAGTTCACTTAAGACATTTACCAGGTGAAAACAATAATAAAAACTGAATAAGCACACTCGGCAGGCTTGGAGACAAATAAAAAAAAATCTGCGTTTGCACATACCTGTGTGGAGTTTGACGTGGCGATCTCTGCTCCTCTTGTGTTTAAACAGACGGCTGCAGAAGGTACACTTGAAAGGCAGCTTGTCGCTGTGGATCTGCTCGTGACGCTTCAGGTAGCTCAGACGGCTGAGGAGACGGAAGACGAACAGAGCGGTGATAACGATGACTACCCGTTCTTTCAGACGCGCTTTATAAAGCGGTTTAATAAAAACAAACAGCCGCATCAAAATAGCTTCAAGTAGGAAGCAGACTACGATTAAAAACAACTAAAAGTGATTTAAAAGATTAAGGAGACTATGCTGGTTTTTGCTGCTTGGGACTGTCAGCTGCTTGAACTATTTTTCAAAACAAGGCATACATACATACAATAACGAGAAAGCAGGAAGAATAACGGAGAGCAGAACTGGAGTGAGTAACATAGAGGATAATAATGATGACTCTATGGTGCGTGTGTGTGACAGCTGTTCTTAAAATGGGTCTTGACTTGGTCCCTGGAGAGGTGAGTGAGAAATGTATTCACCTCATTCCTTTTACTGTTTGCCTTAGTGGTCCATGTTACCATGGTAATATTGTGAATACAGTTTATTCATGTACACACTGATATTCCTGAGTAGGACATGAGGAGGCAACTAAACACGCAAATGTGATATTGGCGTTTTTGTCTACAATCCATAGTGTGTTTCAGTCCACCGAGGAGGAACCTGCAGCCTCTTTGGAAACCACAAATTTAATACCTGAAGGACTTGTCACAGAACTGGCATGGGTACGGCAGACCTGCGCCTCCTTCCTCCTCTCCGCCAGTGGCCATGCCAAGGTCGCAGCAGCCATCAGGCATCTGTGACGGCGATGCCACGTCTTTACTGGAGGGCGAGGAAGGCACCCAGGACAGCCCTGCTGGGTCATCGTCGCCATCTGATAGAGAGGGGAGACAGGCATAGAAACATTTAGAAAATATCTTCAACTGCAGCAAGACAAAAAAAAAAACAAAACACAAAAATAACTTTCGGTCACAGCTGCAGGATTGCAAATAAGGAGACAGGTGAGCACAGACAGAAAAAAGGTGGGGGTAAAACGGGGAGCATTACAATGATTAAGAAGAAGTTTTCTTGGAAGGCAAAAGGAGGGAGAGGCAGCCTGTGGGAGTTCAAATGAGAAAAAAAATAGGATATAAACAAAAAAATAAACACATTTATCCTGGTTACACACACACACACACACAGAAGGAAAATGAGGATGGCAGAGATAAAGAGAGTGAATGAAACAGAAGAGAGAGAGAGAGCGAGAGAGACACTCCGGCAGTAGCAACATCTAAATAGAAAGCTCCAAGAACTATGTATCCCCGATGGAGCCCAGAAATAAGGACAGAGTGTATTTTCTCTCCCTTCATCCTCCCTCTGCAGCCATCCCTCGTTCCATCCCTCCCCTCAGCTCCCCTCCCCTCCCCTCCCCTCCCTCCATCCGTCCCCAAAGACCATAGATCCGCCTCATCATATTTTCATTAGGGCCTTGGCAGATTGAAACGTCGGAAAAGCGATTAGGAGATGTGGAGAGCAGAGCGGAAAGATGGCGATATTCACTCCCTTTATCTGTCATACATAGGAGATTATGCATTGCTCTTTTCCTTTTTTCCTCTCTCTTTTTTTTTTTCTCCCCCTCCTGTGTAGTCTGGCACAGAGGCGACAAAAAGGCCACGACTCCTTTAATAGACACTTCAGAATGGATTTCAGGCGACAAAAGAGGGGGCTGAATAATGCTTGATATTGTTCTGTTCTTCTTTGTGCGCTCTGTGAAGCAGCACAGTGAGGCTATTTAGCATTTGCCTGAAAAATGTAAAGGAGAGGAGAGATGAAGAGAGGCTGTTTTCTTTGCTTTTTATGTGATAGCTGATAGCTGTATCAACTAGGCCGGCAACAAATCAAAGAAAGTGCCAATATTCATTACGAGCACAATATTTCTGCAATGCAAACATTGCAGCTCATCCGCACAGACACATGAGCAGGAGAGAAGTTTCTCCTGATAATTTTAGAAACCTCTCCAAAGCACACACCGTTTTACCTCAACTCCTACCACAATCTTGTGCGTCTTCCGTGTGTGTGTGTGTGTGTGTGTGTGTGTCTGGTCTACTGTGTATTACGCCTTGCAGAGAGGAGGTGGAAAACAGATTCTTGTGATGAATCGATCGCGGGGAAAATGTAGGCACTGCGATGAGCAAATACAACTCTGCAGGGGGGTCTGGGTTAAAAAAAAAAAAAAAAAAACTGTAAACGCATTGAATTATGAATTTGACTGGAAGCAAGAAGGAAAATAAAAAAAGGGCTTAAGAAAATAGAAGGAATGGAGATATCAACATGAAGCCTAAAAGCAAGGAAAGAAGGAGGCGGAGACAGAAAAAGTGAAAGATGGGGCAGTTGGAGACGGAGGAATTGGGTTGTATGAAGGAAGATGAAGAAGCGGTGGCAGGGTGAAAGGAGTAAAACAAACAATATGTCATTCTAGAGCCGTGCACACAGCGAGGAAAACGTAACTCAGGAAAAACTTAAAAACGAGTGCAAATGAGATGAGAAGCCTTGAACATGGTACAGAGAGTTAAAGAGTCAAATCTGTCTGAAACAGGTCAGACAAACAGGAAATGTTACATTCTGGTTATTCTGAAAAAGTTCTCACTGATCAAACTGGCAAACATTTCTGAATAATTCGGCTTTTTTTTTTTTTTTTCTAAACGTCTGACTTCGTTCCTCTCATGCTATTAGAAAATTTATGATCCTCAGCGGCCTGAATACTTTGTTATGCATTGAGGACCTGAGTCGATGCCCCTTTCTTCACCTGATAAAAATCTAATTTTAACATTACATAACCATTAAAGAACCCAGGAATGAGGCAGACCCTCTTTCAACCAATAACAGAATCATCCTGGCCCATACTTAGGGCAAAATTCAGGGAGGACAGATTTCAATACTCAGTATTGATCTAATATAACTCTTGTAATTCCAATTTATAGCTGCCTGTGTGGAAATCTTATGCGTTGGAACGTGAGGTCCAGGGATTGTGGGGACTGAGGAAATTTAAAAAGTAGCAGGAACACAGAAATTTTTGATGACATTGACAAAGAAACTATTTAATTGGCGCTGCTCACATTAAATACCTGAGGTTAGCATTAACATTGATGTTAATTCTGCACAGTCAATCAATGCATTCTTAAAAACTAGTTGTGACTAACTGGATTGCTGTTGCTTTTTAATTTCTTCTATCTCAAATCAATGTGAACATGGTAGCGTAAATCAGCACATTATAGAAAATTGAAATATATCCGACAAAAGATACAGCAAATGAAACCATGTAAAGCCCAGTGCAGCAACAAATTTCTATTATTTCTATTAAAATGTACATAAACCAGTTAAAGCAAGCTGCTGCACATGCTGTTGTCTTTTCTCCCTAAAAACAATGGCTTGTCTTTCCTTTCATTCTTAGAGACACCAAGAGAAGACTGGATTACATGCCAGTGTACAAAAAAATCTACTATTAAATGTACCATCTGCATGGAGTAAAGCTGGTGTTAAAATATAGTGCGTCCATAAAATGCCAATCCAGACACCCCCTGCTGCCCACACAACAGGGTATAAGTATTTAATGTAGCCCGTGAGAGATACATGATGCCGTCTCAAACATAGATACATCACTCTGCCACATTTTGTCTCCTCCTCTTAACTTTGTCAAGCAGACTTTCATTAAGAACAAACAGACAGAGGGAGTCAAACGCCAGACACAAAGAAATACTCAAACCCAAAATGTTCAGCACAAAGAACTGAAAATTAAATCTCAAAGACTTGCAAGAAAAGTGGCAAAGAATAGGGAGTAAACAAACCCCAAAAACAATTAAAGTAGTTTTTTGTTTTTTTTTAATCGCGGTGCTGGTCCGGACACATGTGGATCATTACAGACTCACCAGTATGAGTCAGATAAATGGTAATGTTTCTGAGGTGGGAAAGTGTGGTGAGGAGAGACGAAGGGAGGAAGGGGGAGATTGCACTACAGAGATTCAGTCAGAGCAAGAGGGAGAAATCACTTTTTGAGGGGGGGTGGTGGGATGGAGGGGTGTTGAGAAAGAAGGGGAGGAGAGATTAGCGTCATTAAAGAGCCCTAATCCTCTGACTAGCGTGGCTGGCGCTAAAATGGAGGATCACACGGCTTTTTAACGGCGCCTTTGTCAGTCGGCCACGAGGGGACCTGGCAAGACAAGGCCGAATGGCAAACTGGGAGAAACTGGAGGACGGGGAGGGGGGGAGCGAAGAAAATTTCAATGAAAAGTTAAATTAGAGAAGAATCCTCGAGAGGAGAGAAGATGAGGAGGATGGATGGTTGGGGAGGGAGGAGGGGGGATTGGAGGGGGAAAAAAAAGAAAAAGAAAAAGAGGAAGAGAAAGTGTTGGAAATAAAATTTAAAAAAAAAAAAAAAAGGAGAAACAGCCAGGAGCAGGCGGACGCCGACACACGCTGTTCCTACCCCCGTCTCCTCCTCCTCCTCCTTTCTGTTCTTCTCTGGCGAATGAAAACGAACGAACGGAGCGGAGTGGACCGCGGGGCCCCAACCGCTCGGCTCCCGCTTTATCTCTCACTCTGCAGTCTTCTCCTTTCCCATCCATTCCCTCTATTCTTCATCCCTCCCTCTGTCCTCAGCAGTCCCTCTACTCTTCTGTCTTCATCTCTCTTCCACTACCTCCCTCCCTCGCTCCCTCCCTCCGTCACCTTTCATGTTGTTACTCATTATAGCACTGACATCTCTCCCTCTGTCCCTCCGTCTCTCCGACAGTTTCTCCCCTACTGGTGTTGGCCTTCACCCCTGTGTCTCGGCCTGGACGGGACCGAGGGAGAGGAGGAGGGGGGAAGATGTTCCAGATGGACGGACTCTGAACTCCAGAAGAGAGGGGAAAAGATGGCGGGATGAAAGAGGGAGGACTAGAAAAAAAGGAGGAGAGGAAGAGGAAGAGGAGAGACGACGAGAGGAGGGGAGACGAGAATGAGCCCAGGGAGTCTGTAATAAAAAAATTGAAAAAAAAGACGAGAAAGGAAACTGAACAGACCGCCTGAGTCTACCTGAAACAACAGACATGCACACGCAAACACACGCATGCAAACAACACACGCGCTCCCTGCATGTTTCTCTAATAGGCCAGACAGTGTGGCAACGTGTGGAGGACACAGCCTTGGTGAAACACTCTAATGAAGAGACACACACGCTGATCGATTTCTCTTTATGTTCCTGCCACCCTCGTCTCCGTCCCCCCCATCCGAACTCAGTGCGATTGTCATAACTGTCACACAGAGGGAAATTATATGAAAGCTGCAGAGTTTAGAAAATGGAACCATCATTAAAAGAAACTTTGGAGACAATTTTGATCTTCATATGCTGTGATTAACAACTCTATTAACCAAACTCCACTATATTGCGTCCAAATTTCTGCTGCCACTGACCGAGGCTGCAACCTGACCAACGGCTCGATGGACTGACGCAGAACCAACAGTCGAGAACACGAGTTCACTTAGTTCGCTCTGGATAACGGTGTCGGCTAAACGCCTGGAATGGAAATACAATCCATGTATGTCACGCGTTCTCTCTTTTATATTGCTTTGATGTTTGAATCAAAGGAGCTCAGCTGGTAGCAGCAAAAGGGTTTCAGGTCCCAGTGCTGCTACTACAAGAGCTAACATTGTCTACCACCTAGAGTTATGTGCAGAAAAATCTGAATTAACATTATAAATTAATAACACACAAAGTGATCTGCTAAGTTCAACATGCATTTAACTGTCAGAGTAAAATATTAATCTGAATACAGTGCTTAAGTTAGTGTATAAGGCTTTACCACATCTTTCCATCCAGCTCGAATGTATCTGAGCAAGAACTGTGCAGAAAATAGA